AAAATTACTTGGTTAAATTTTCTTAATAACGGTATTTTAACGCCCACTAATGTGAATAGCTCGCATGAAATAAATTTCATTGATAGCCTCTTTAGTATTAATCTCACCCAAATTAATTCGTTTTTCAATTCATTACATAATCTCTTGGATCTGGTTTTTGTTGATGAAAATTTAACCTTTGAAGTCTCTGAATCCACATTCCCGATATGTAAATCAGATATGCATCATGTTCCACTTTCTCTCTCCGTCGAGTTTGTTAATTTTCTTTCAAGTTCAAGTGCAATCTCCAATATTAGTTTTAATTTTCGTGATGCGGACTTTGACTCCCTAAATGCTGAAATTCTCGAAGTGGATTGGCTATCTATCTTCTACTCGAAAAGTGTTGAGGAATGCTTCGATGTTTTCCTATGCAATATATATGAAATCTTTACTAATAATCTTTCTTTACTACCTGTGCGAAAGCATAAACTTCCATGGTATACCAAGCGCCTCAAGAAATTGAAAAATCTTAGGAACAAATTTTTTAAACTTTATAAAGCTTCTAATAATAACCTCCATAAGGAAAATTATATGAGATATAGTAAAGATTTTAATGTGCTGGATAAATTCTTATATAAAGAATATATTTCTAGGTATGAAAATGAGCTGAAGGAAAACCCTAAAGCTTTTTGGAAATATATTCGTTCTAAGAAGGGTTGTTCTAATATTCCGGTTTGTATGACTTACTGCGGTGCATCTTCTGAATGCCTACTGGATTCTGTTAACCTGTTTGCTGATTTTTTCAAATCAAATTTTGTTTCAAGCAATACGGCTGGTAGTTTCTGTGCCGGTGTTGCTAAAACGGTCTGTTTTGGGCCCTTGTCAATCTCGGAAACTGACGTAATCAATGGTATTGCTGCCCTTAAAACCTCATTAAAATGCGATCCTGACGGACTCTCGTCATTTATATTGAAGAAATGCAGTATGTCTTTTTGCAAACCTCTGTATTATATTTTTAATTTCTCATTAGCGAGTGGTAAGTTTATTGACCGATGGAAAATAGCCTCTATCACTCCAATCTTTAAATCTGGCAACAAGAATAATGTAGCTAATTATAGACCGATCTCGAAACTCTCTAACTGCTCGAAACTTTTTGAGAAAGTAGTTAAAGAGAAGTTATTGTTTGCAATTAAAGGTTCCATAGATGAGTGTCAACATGGTTTTATTAGCGGTCGATCCACGGTTACGAACCTCACTACTTTTTCACAATTTTGCGTTTCGTCATTTAAGACTGGCCAACAAGTAGATGTTATCTATACAGACTTTGCT